CCATGTAAAACCCTGGCTTTACACCATGTAAGCCTGGCGTTACAACCATGTAAAGCCTGGGCTTACACCATGTTAGGCCTGGCTTTTACACCCATGGTAAACCTGGCTTTACACCCATGTTAAGCCTGGGCTTTACACCATGGTAAGCCTGGCTTTACACCATGTAAGCCCTGCCTTTACACCATGTAAGCCTGGCTTTACACAATGTAAGCCTGGCTTTACACCATGTAAGCCTGGCTTTACACAATGTAAGCCTGGCTTTACACCATGTAACCCGTGAGTTACACCATGTAAGTCAGGCTTTACACAATGTAAGCCTGGCTTTACACAATGTAAGCCTGGCTTTACACCATGTAACCCTGAGTTACACCATGTAAGTCAGGCTTTACACAATGTAAGCCTGGCTTTACACCATGTAACCCTGAGTTACACCATGTAAGTCAGGCTTTACACAATGTAAGCCTGGCTTTACACCATGTAAGCCTGGCTTTACACCATGTAACCCTGAGTTACACCATGTAAGTCAGGCTTTACACAATGTTAGCCTGGCTTTACACAATGTAAGCCTGGCTTTACACCATGTAAGCCTGGCTTTACACCATGTAAGCCTGGCTTTACACAATGTAAGCCTGGCTTTACACCATGTAACCCTGAGTTACACCATGTAAGTCAGGCTTTACACAATGTAAGCCTGGCTTTACACCATGTAAGCCTGGCTTTACACAATGCAAGTGGGTGATTAATACCAGTCCTGTAAAGAGGAGGTTTCACTCTATCAGTATGGTCTTTACTGAGAGGCTTGCTATCAACAGCGCATCCAGATCAATACAAGGTATTAATAGGCATCCAGGGTACTAAGACTCACCTGGGATTGATTTGATTATTTCCCAAAAGGGAATGGGCTAACAATACTTATTAAGCTTTAACAAAATTAGTTGAAGATTAACAGGTATTGTTGATGGGAATATTCAGCAAGGCTATGAATACTGTGGATAAGTTGAGTAAGAGTACTGAAGCTTAAGAACATAAATGTAGACAAGATTTATGTGGATACGTGTACTGTATCAACTATAAATGTAGCTG